ACAGAGCAGGAGGCAAAACCAGAGCCCTGCAGCCTTCTGGGCATTGCCTTGGAGCAATGGGGCACCCTGGGGAGTGGGACACCCCAGAGGGATGGAGCATCTTGCAGCAACGGGGCGCCGTGGGGCGATGGAGCATCTTGGAGCGATGGGGCATGTGGGGGAGATGGGGCACCCCAGAGTTATGGGCCCCCCCAAGGTGATGCAGCACCTCAGGGTGACGGGGCACCCTGAGCAGCGCAGGAGCCGCGAGGGCCGTGGCAGGAAGCAGCGTGCGGCGTGCCCCGTTCTGCTCGAGAGCGCTTGCGGCCGCGTGGGATCTCCTGGGCTTTCGCTTTCGCTACCAGCTCATCTTCCACCGCCGAGAAAACTCCGGAGGGAAATTCAGCGGGCGGCAGACAGGCCGCAGGGAGAGCACCCGCTCCCCCAGCGAGCGCTGCCGTTTGGGCTGCGAGTGCCAAGGGCTGGTGGTTATGTAAGAAGCGAGTCCCAAGTTCTTCCTGACAGATTGCTCCGTCCTTGGATTTGGAGAGGCCAGGACGAGCCCTGCCACCACCAGCCACACCAGGACGTGTAGTCCTCCGCTCACCGCCCCCAGGCAGCCGGGACTGCCGTGTCCTCTCCGATGGGCAAGGATGTGGCAACGCTCCCACCCTCCCTGCCGTTCCTGGGAAAGCTCCCGCTCGGCGGGTTGCATCACCCCAGCAAACGGCTTTCACAACCCGCGGCCACATCGCCCGCGGCAGGGTCAGCCCCGCTCCGCTCCTGCCGGCCGCGCCAAGGCCGCGGGGGGCTTGGGACGGAGGCGCGGGGACAGCGCCCACCCTGTGAGTGCAGTGGGGCTGGCACGCAGCCCACGAGCTTCCCCTTCTCCCTCCCCTGCCCTGCGGCTTCTTCCTTCTCCATTCATAGGAAAAAGAAAGCGGGAAGAGAGCAATCCCGGCAGGAAAGCAGAAGCTGCCTCATCCTGCGGGGGCAAAGGGAGCAGTTTAGAATCACGACGACTGCAAGCAGCAAGGGGCTGTGGGATGCAACAGGAGGTGGCCGGGAAAGGTGGGTTTTCCCGGTGTTCCAAGCAGCCGGAGCCCACCCCGCGCTGGGCCGCCCCGAGGAGGCAGCAGGGGCCCCGGCACGTCCCTGCGCCGTCATCTCGCATGAGCTCAGCGGGAGGCGGGTGACGCTGGCGCTGCGGCACCGCGCAGCCCGGGGCGCGTAATTGCTTTCCTGGAAATCCGCCTCTCCAGCCGCGGCCTTCCTGCCGGAGAGGCATCGCCAGGGCCCCGGCTGCTTCTCCGGGGCGGTGTTTGTGTCACCAATGGCCACAGGACCCCAGGGGCACTAGGACATTGCCCATCCTGCTGCGCCTGGCACCGCGTGCAGCAGGATCCGTGTCCCGCTTCCCCGTCCACCCAGCCAGGAATGAAACCGCGGGTTTCTGGTTGCTGAAAAACACGGAGGGAAGGAGCAGGGTGGGGGCTGCAGCACAAACCGGGGCGGCGCATGGGGGTCCCGTGCAATGCAGACCCCAATGGCACTGGGGACCACGGGGGCCACTGGTGTCCTGGCCCCGTCGCAGGCTGCGGTGCGGGGGGCGCGGG